GAGAGGGTTCTGTCCCCGGCCCAGAGGAGAGGGTTCTGTCCCTGCCCCACAGGAGAGGGTTCTGTCCCCGGCCCAGAGGAGAGGGTTCTGTCCCCGCCCAGAGAGGGTTCTGTCCCCGCCGCGGTGCCACCCCTGCCTGGGCTCCATCGATAGCTCTGCGCTCGGCAGCCCGCCCCGGGGCCGGACGAGCCCTCCTTCTCCCCTCCCTTTCCTCCCATCGATGTGTCGGCGCTCGCCCCGCCCTCCGGCACGCTCTGCCGCTCCCGGCACCTGAGACGGACACGCTCACCTGCCGCCCGGGCGCTGAGGTGAGGTGGGCCCGGGCCCGGCCCGGAGCTTTCCCCAGCCGTTCTCAGCAGTCCCGGGCCGCGGCTCCTCGGCCGGGCGGGGCGGCCCCTCAGCGGCCTCTCCCCCGGCGGGCGGTGCGCGCTAAGCCCCGCCCCTCTCCCTGCGCTCGCGCAGTCGCGGGCACCGGCCCCGCCCCCGGCAGAGCGCGCGGCCGCTCCCTGCGCGGGGCTGCGCCTGCGCGCGAGCGCGGCGGGACCACCAAGGGGGCCGTGCCCGGCCCGGCCCAGACCTGGCCCAGACTGACCCGCCCAGCCCGGCCCGGCCCGGCCCCGGCCCCGGCCCCGACCAGCCGCGGCTCAGCCCTCCCCCCCGCTCCAAGCCCTCCCTCTCGCCCCACGGCGCCGCCTCCGTTCGTTTCAGGCAGCGGCGAAGGGCGATGCGGCCCCCGCGCCCCGGCGGCCCGTGAGGGCAGCGCTCGGCAGCGATGGCCTCGGGCTGCCCGGCGGCCTTCGGGGACCCGGGCGAGGTGCGCGAGGGCTTCCTGTGCCCGCTGTGCCTGAAGGATCTCCAGGCGTTCCGGCAGCTCCAGGCGCACTACGAGGAGCAGCACGCGGGCGAGGACCGGGACGTCAGGGCGCAGCTCCGAAGTAAGAGCGGCCGCGGTGACGCGGAAATCCCGTATGGCGATGGCTGCTCGTACTGCGAGCGTCTGACAGCACTGAAACAGTAATTGACCGGCTTACAGCCGAGGTTTCAGTGTCATTCTTCTGTAAGTCTCCTTAGACCAAGCGTAGCGTTTACATTCTTCCGATACTTTCCGTAAATAAGTTCTAAAGCAAGCGCTAAAAGACGTTACTTTTCAAATATCGTTTATGCACGATTTTTATTATTGGCCTTTTGGGGTTTTTCTGTTTGTTTTTATCTGAAAAGTTGGATTTATATTGTAACCCAGTGGATTCCCAAGCATTACTTGAACACCACACAGGACATGGGAAATCTCTAGTACTTGCCAAGTTCCAGTTCATTAATTTCTTGTTTTGTCAGTAGATAAAACTGTGGTTGCAGTTAAAGTGTAACATTAAGAGATGTTGATGGAAAAGAATACGGGTGGTGGAGCTGACAGGAGATGCTGGAGTGTCTCAGGGCTGTGCTATGGATTACCAACTTTGACTAGTGTTTGGAAAATAGCTGTAAATTGTGTTTTACTAGGATATTTCCCTTTTCACCCCCCCCCTTGCATATGCAATATCATTTTACATTGAGAGAAAAATGTGTAAAATCTGATGATACTTCTGTGTGTTTCCTGCAAAAATCTGGTTGGTTTTGTTCTATTATGCTACAGATACTGGCCTGGAAGTATGTTTGTTTGTTTGTTTGCTTTCTCCTGAGATTGATTAATAATTCAAAAGTCTCTTTTCTTGGTGAAACCTTAACCCTAACAGTGGCCTGTTTAGTACTTTCAAAATTATGTGAACAAGCACACTGAAATTCTTTGTTTGTGTAACAAGACAAAGAAAGTGTTGAACATCCTTGAATCCGAAGAAAATAACTGGGAATTAGAAGAATCAAGATATTGCTATATGGTGCCCCAGATGCTGCGAGACAGGTTCCATAGTTTAAGACATATTGCTGTTTTACGGTGAAGTCCCTGAATGGAATGCCCTAACCTACTATTTTGTGTTTAGAATCTCAGTGCTGCTTTATGACAGACAACAAAGAGCATTTCGTGTCATCTGTGGTGCTCTGAACTGCATTCTGGTTCTAAGAACGTGTTGAGGATAAACTTGTCCTCCAGGAAAAAGATTTGTGCTAAAAGAAGAGGAATAATCCATACTGGCTTCTTGTGATGAATATTCAGTGACTACCTGCTATGTTTGATAACTTGGCTTTATCTTTTTCAGATCTAGTCCAGAAGGCCAAAAGAGCAAAGAAGAAATTGCTGAAACAAGAAGGAGATGACAGAACTGATTCTGGATCTCAGGAACGATATGAGTCATTCAGCTATGGTGGAGTAGATCCCTACATGTGGGAGCCCCAGGAAGTAGGTAGGAGAGCTAGAAAGCAATATGCAGTGGGGATAACTTTTAACCTGAACTGGGGAAGTGCTGATGTATTGCTGAAGTGGCTTGGAATTGTGTCTGTGCCTTGGATTCACTGTAGCAGGGGATTATGGTTTGTACACTGACTTTGTGCAGCCTACCTACGTTGTGTGGGGAAAGTGCAAATAATGGTCAGAAAAAATACACGGGTAGGATCAGAACCCAGCTACCCTTAAGGCAGCTGTTTGTCATGTCATTGTGCCTGAGCTGCTGAGGTCTGCTGAATCTGTGTTTACCTCTGTGCAGCTAGCTTCATCTTGTGACTTTACAAAACAAATTAATAATTAATAACTAAGCTATATGAATAATAACTCAGGTATATAAAATCTCCAGCTTTTGGGCTGCACTTAAAGTAATTGTTAGTTTGCATGTTTGACAAAAAGATTATCCAATTATTTAAACTCTTTCAGCTTTTTCCTTGAATTTGAGGTGCAGAACATCTGTCATTAAAAAGAGGTTTACTTTAAAAAGAACACAGATTAAAAAAGAAAACAACCTCAAACCCACTCCTCTGAAGATAAGTCTACATTTGTAGAATTTCAAGGATAAGGTGACAGAGCTTGTAATTACAAGTGCTGCTACTGGCAATTGCCTGTTACTGTAGCTGACATATTGTTATTTTTGGGGGAAGAAGCAGCACCATCTCTGGTGGATCGTGGCAAAGTTTCCCCTGTGGTGCTGACAGACTAGGACTGAGTCCTTTGGGTCTGCAGGGTCTGAGTTCTGTAGATTATTTTACTTTTGACTTTATGATTGCTGCTCAAATAATTAGATGGTATAAATATTAGCTAAGAATAAATTTAGACAAGGTTTATGAACATTGGAGAAGTGAGAACTGCTTTCTCATCTGAGTAGAGAAGATGAATCATAGGGATTTTGGAATGGGATTTGGTGAGTCTGTGAAAGGGACCGTGTGACATCACCAAAGCAGCGGCGGAATTCAGTTACCCAGAGGAGTCCTTTCCTATGAATAATTCATCTTTGGAGATTTTTTGGTTATTTCATTAGCATGAGGAAGTGAGATTCTTACACTTACATAGTAGCATCAGAAAGCAACATCTGATGTTGAGTTCTACCAGTTGGAAAAAAGATTATTGTTTTAAATTTTGTCTATAACTTTGACTTTTAATACCTGGCTCGCCTTATTTGGAAAAAGAGTAATCGTAAACCAGCATTGTTGAATATGAATTGTACATTTCTTAAATAGATGCTATATTGTTCTTTTGAATACTCAGGGATCAGTTTTCTGTAAATCTGAACTGTCGTCAAGGATTTGATTCAGACTCCTAAAGGTGGAGAGATGGTCAGAAATCTGAAAGCATAGACCTCTAGTAATCATTGGACCTACCTCTTCCTTTGGTTCAACATGTAGCCAGGAAACTAAGAAGAGAACAATTAGAGAACAGTTCTAGTAGGTAACATCTAGCTTGCTAAATGTAACCGAGGAATGAAGAGGGGAAAAAATGTTATTGCAGATGTTCTCTTTAACATAGTGCTTGTTGTTTTCTGTGGTGGAAGTAAAACCCTGTTTATTGCCAGTCTGGAGATTAGACTTTACCCTGCATGTTTTATTTAGGGCAACACTAAGACAATGTAGGATTCTAATGTGTCTTTAAAATTGGATTTGAACATGAGAAATAAATGGTGAAAAAAGAGACAGCCGTCTTTCAAGAGGCATTTAAATCCATGCAGAATACCTGGGTGACTAGGACAACTTTCTGTTATCCCTGCAGGTGCTACAAGAAGCCATCTTTCTGAATTCAAGAAACACAGAGCAGCCAGGATTGATCACTATGTAGTTGAAGTTAATAAGTTAATAATCAGATTAGAAAAGGTAAATGTGGTGCTTTTTAATATTCCAGCCTTCTAAATGTTTCCTAGATTTAAAAAATTATATTTTGGTATGAAATGTGCCCATTTATCTATGAGTACACTATATAAAGGATACTAAACTATGATTCCTCACATACTACCTTGAGCACTGTGCATGGTTTGACCCTATACTGTTGGTATGATTTCTGTTTCTATGCACCATTTTCAAGATGAAGATGCTGCTTCCACATACTTCAAAAACCATCTGTTCTCCTGATTATTTTCTCTGTCTTACTAAATTTCTCCCTCATGTTTTTGTCATGATTCTTCCAGCTTCTCGTTCCTCCAAATCTGCCAATGATACACTTGCATTTTGACTCAGATGCAGTAATGTTGGCTGCAGTAAGGATTATGTCCTAAATGGCTGATTTGTACAGGTTTGACAGTCATTGTTTATCACCTGTATGAATACGGCATTAGAAATGAACAGGACAGTTGCATGATTGGTATGAAACAGGCTGAGAGTCCTCTCTTAAAGATGCCAGGTTTCTTTTTCTTGTTGGGCTGAGTTGTGTTGCGTTTTTTTCGTTGCAAAAGTATAATTTTCTTGAATATATTTTTTATCTTCTGCCAGCTTACATCGTTTGACAGAGCAAACACTGAGTCAGCTAAAATAAGAGGTTGGTGTGAGCTTACCTTGGACTTTTTGCCCCTATAGTTTATCCAGCTGATGAATTAATTGAATAGCTTACGTGGTGTGTATTCTGCTCATAGCTATAGAGAAATCTGTCGTGCCTTGGGTCAGTGATCAGGATGTTCCCTTCTGCCCAGACTGCGGCAGTAAGTTCAGTATCCGAAACCGACGTCACCACTGCCGCCTCTGTGGATCTATTATGTGCAAGAAGTGCATGGAACTCATCAGTCTTCCTTTGGCAAGTAAGTACAGTCTGTGGAGTTAACTCCTCCTTTTCTTAGTGTGCTCTGGGAGCTAAGTGGATCCTGGCTGTTTGCCATTAGAAGAAAATATGCTTATAATAGTCTGGTTGTGCAGAAAACTTGGTCCTTAATGTGTCATTCAGTTTCATCCAGACACTTGTTTGTGAAATACAGTACAAAGAACGATTTCTCCATTTTTTTTCTCTGTTCCTTCTTCAGATTTGGAAGTGTTGCATAACACTGAAAAAATTACTAGAAGTAGTATGTACTCCTGGTAAATATAGCTAATATTTAGTGTACTGTTCTTTTGAGTACCATAACTATGGTTAACTAAAGTTATCAACTTTAAGAACTGCCAAGGTTCTTCACACTTAAAAATATTGTGGATATTTCCAGTCTTCCCCATGCTCTTCAAATGTTGGACATTTGCA